GCGCCACTGGGCAACGCGGGAGATCGCGAGCCCTCGATGGCAGACGTCAGCGGAAAATGTGCAGCTCGAGGAGTGGGAATCTCATCGACGGATGCGGATGAAGCGGCCAATCCCAAAGATGCAAGACCGTCGCTACGATTGCTCATCGCGCTTGCGGATCGCGAGGGAGAAGAGCCGACAGCCAAAGTGCGAGAAGCGGCGATAAGGTTGGCAGCCTTTTCTGCTTCTGCGGCCTTTTTGGCGGCATTTTCGGCTGCGACCAGCTGTGCGCGCAAGGCAATGGCAGACGCGATGCTTTGAATGTTTGTTTTACCGCCAAAACTTCCATTCAACGTGGTAGCTGGGGGTGGAGACGCGCTAGTGCGTGGAGGAGTGATGCTGTCGGTGTCGGTGCTGCCCGCTCCTTGAGCAGCCGAATCCCGTCGAACAGGTATGTGAGGCATCAGCACCTTGCGAGCTTTTGCGCTACCCGGTGACTTGATGTTGGAAGAGGTCGACGCTGGTGATGCGATGAGACCTTGTGGAGCAGAGGCTGGGTTTGGAGAGGCCATTGTTGATTGTGGTGAAGGTTGATCTTCATCACCAGCACCGGCTGCTTTGGAGAGGTCAGCAGCGGCTTGGATGGATCCGTACGACCGCTTAGACTTTGGTGTCCTCGCTCCCGGCGTCCCACTACCACCGCTTCCAGGCGGGCTGACATCGATGATGCTGCTCGTGGATTGCGAAGACCTCGGTGCGCCCAACTTGGCTCCTGAGCGATTCGGTGTCTTGCTACGGGAAGATGAGCTGGTCGATGCTCTATGCTTTACGCTCTTCCTCGCAGCCTTGCTGGGCGTGATACCTGTGCTAGCAGATTCTCCGACTGGCCCCTGCCCCTGGGCGCGCAGAGTGCTCGCGCTGCTCATTTCGTGACGAAATGAGAAAGGTGCCTGCCTAGATGATCAGCCGCGAGGGTTTTTAGGGCGGCGGGGGGGAAGCTGTGTGATTGAGCTACTTGGCGCAAATGCCCCTGATGCAAGACGTGGCCGCCCGTCGGTGCAGTCAGCGGCACCGCAATTAATCGCCTGGTTCGGATTCTTTGGGCGTGAAAGATCTGCTCCGCAAGAACAGATCGAGCTTTGCGAAGTCGATCAGTCTACCTGGAGCGGCGG